ATCATGGGACTCATTCTGCAAAGGGTAGGGAAGATGCTATTTCCCTCTCCAGGTTCTGGTCCAGCTTTTGGCCGTCTAGGAGACAACTGAAAACTGTTCAGAGCAGCTGCAGAATTACAGCCTTGGGCACTGGTAATCCTTTTGGAGCATGGAAGCTTAGAGAAGGTATCACAAAATGCTGTTCCATTAGCTCCCAATGACCCGACGGCCGGCCTCCTATGTGTTGGGCCTTGTGGTCCAGTGCAGAGATGGGAACACAACCTGATTACAACCTGCTTATGGTGACGACTGAAAGAAAGCCCCCTTCACTCCTGCTAGAATAACTGAGAAGAGGGATACCTGGCCTGGAGTGAGGGCTTCTAAGTGGGGAGAGCAATGGGCCCCAGATATGGACTGCATCAGTCATGCTTCCCTGGCACTGCTGACTGCTGTAAGGCTCCGTGCCCCCGACTCCCAGTAGAAAATATTTTTGGCCAGTCTCTGGCATGGTGCCTTATTTATTTGCGGAGCTGTTATTCTATAAGCTCTGAGCCAAAGGCAGGCCAGTTTTTTGCCAGTCATGCTGAATCTGCCATCCTTCCACCCTTCCACCTTGTATTTTTTTTTTTTTTGCGATATGTGGGCCTCTCACTGTCGTGGCCTTTCCCGTTGCCGGATGCGCAAGCTCAGCGCCCATGGCTCACGGGCCCAGCCGCTCCGCGGCATATGGGATCCTCCCGGACCGGGGCACGAACCCGTATCCCCTGCATCGGCAGGCGGACTCCCAACCACTGCGCCACCAGGGAGGCCCCCGCCTTGTATTTTTACTCAGAGTCCCAAGTGTGGGTCCAGGAGGAAGGGCTTTCGGTTGCTCTGTGGAGGAACAAATACATCTGCTTTATGTAGCTAGACTTGATGAAATTGGAGGACCCTAGACACTAGTTTCAGGATACTTTTCTTTGAATAAGGGACCTGTTTCCAGCTCAAGAGAATGGTTTTCATGCAAGACACAGAAATTATTATATTAGTTATACACACACACACCACACACACACACACTCGCGCGCTATTAGATCCTTCAGGCAAATATAGTTTAAGTAAAATTACCTTTGCAGATAAATTGAATCCTTGAGATTTTTCCATTTTCTTTTTCTTTTCTTCACTTCTCCAATGCTTTCTAAAGACTCCTAAATCACATTAGTATTTCCTTTTATATACCGTAGAATTGCCATACGTATAATCAGTAGTTATTCTCGAATTATTTGATTTTTCTCCATGCTTAGCTTCTTTCTGGCATTAATTTTGAGACATAAGAAGAATCAATTAGTTCTATGAGTTCCCTAGACTAGGAAACTTAAAACCTAGCAACAGCTATTACTTAAATGCTATTTTTTACGAAGAGAATTTGGCACTAAGTACAACCAATCCTGATAGAAAATGTAAAGAATTGAAATGAAAAAAGGAACTATAGGTTTCTTAGCTAATATGTTTTCAGATTATTTTTCCATATTATAACACAGTATTTCCAATTCTAATCTATTTTTGACTAGATTTTAAAATTACTTCTTCGTATATGAATTCATTCTATGTATTTATGATACAGATACTAGCCAGGTTTATTTTTTCTCTAGTAATATAAAGTCAAGCTGTTTGATGAAAATGCCAGTTCATTTACTTGTTGAGATACAACTCATACGGGAATAATTGCTTTGGGAACCCTTTGAGTACAGAATGCTTTAAAAGTGTTCTTGTATTTACCGGCATGGCCCTCATTGCAACACATTCTACTAATGTAAAATGAAAACACACAACTGAATCATCACGATCAGTTGAAATTCATTTTTTCCACTAGAGAAGAATTTACTATGAAAAATAAAAACAGGGAAATACTCATTTTTAGTTCGCAATAATACAATTTCATTTAGGAAGACTGCTTACAAATGAAAGCCACTTTCCAGGAAGCAGGTAAAATGCGACTTTAAAACAGTGTTCTAGTAGGTATACATAAGTCTAGAAATACTTAATTTGAAAAGCATTTAACTGGAGGTTGCGAAGGGTCAACACGAGGGGAAAAAAACCAACTAGGACAAATCTTGTCCTCAGGTTCTCACTTGCAAATCCCAGTGGTGATGCCAATGGAAAGTTTATGGAAATATCTGAAAGGCACATTTGGCCTAGTTCAAAAGCTCTCTTAAATTAGTATTTTAATACATTGTCCTAGTTAAGTCTTGTCTTTATGATCCTTTTAACATTGCTTCACCCAGGGTTCATTCATAGCTTACTCAGAAATCACAAAAATGAGGATAGGCTAACAAGAGACCTTTGACCTTTTGTTTACTTTCGGAGGTAACTTGACTTCCTAATCTCCTCCATCCCAGTGCTGAGAAAAGGCCCTATGTGAAGAGATCCATGGATCCAAGGTAAGCTTTGTGTTTTTGTTTTGTTTTGTTTTGTTTTGCGGTACGCGGGCCTCTCACTGCCCGTTGCGAAGCACAGGCTCCGGACGCGCAGGCTCAGCGGCCACGGCTCACGGGCCCGGCCGCTCCGCGGCATGTGGGATCTTCCCGGACCGGGGCACGAACCCGCATCCCCTGCATCGGCAGGCGGACTCTCGACCACTGCGCCACCAGGGAAGCCCAGCTTTGTGTTTTTTGACGCTCATAAAAAGGGAAGTAAAAACAGATGTATGGCACTTAGCTTGGGAGAGTTTAGTCCCTGGAACTAAATTGTGTGTAACTGACAGTATCTAATGTCATGAATATTGTTATAAGTTTTATTTTATAATACTGAGTATATAAATGTCATTGTAACTGTTTCTTGCATTAGAAGGAAGAAGTGAGGAAACCTTTAACTTCCTGTGATCTGTATTTACAAAGCTTCTATTTTGTCCTGGTACTAAGATACACAGCTATGTATCTTCTCAATGGTACCAAATTTGGTTTCTGGAAATGCAGGAGCAAAACATCACCTCACGACATTGTGGAGTCAGTTACCAATGAAACTTGATTTCCTCAGAGAGGCAGACCTTGTTAAGTACCCACCACCAGGTTTTTTTCAGACCTTTGCAAGTAGGACCAAAGCAGCTTCTGGGAGAAATCTGCTAAGAGGAGAAGGAGCTGGCAAGACATTCTCTGCTCAAAACTAAGCCTTGTCCTGGACGGATAATTTGGACCATACACTCTGGAGCCAGATGGACCGAGTTCATATCCCTGCTCCATCATTTATGAGCTCTGTGATATCCTTACTTTATGTAACCTCTCTGGGCCTGAGTTACCTCATCCCTAAAAAAGGTACACAACGAAAGGGTTTTGTCAGAATTAGAGTTCAAATATCTTGAGCATTGTTTTCTCAACTTAGTTCTCATTATGATTTTATATTAAGTTCTTTCACTTAGATTTGTCTCCTGGCCCACCTCTCCCCTCCCATTGATAAGGAGGCCTGTAGGAGGAAAAGCTGTGTGAAGGCAGAAGGAGACAGTAAGCTAAAAGCTGAAAGAGTTGCTTTAGTAAAATCTCTGTGAGCTTCCCTGCCTCTGCTCTACCTTGGTAACTATCTAGCATTACTTCACAAAAAGGAGAGAGAGGCCTTCTCCTCATGATGCAACACAACCCTCGGTGGGCTTCTGTGAATCAGAAGAGGCGGATGGGGCCAGGGACCTGCCAATGCAGGGTGGCAGGGCTAGAGAAGAGGAATAAAAGCAGATGCCACTCTGCAACCATGTCTCTAGTTCCTCCGCCCTCTCGAGACACTCCCAGACGGTGCTCGGAAACATGGTCACGAACTGGGGCAAGGTGTTAAGCAGTTACCAGAAATGTATCAAATCACCAAGCATGTCTTGCTTCTCTGTTAGCACCAGGCATTGTGCTGGCAATTAGCGACACTAAAAGATGATGACGACGTCCCTGACCTCAAATCCCCGTCTGGCTCATCCAGGGACCCAGATATTTTTCAGACCATGTGTGGAATTCAGAAGCAGCTGAAGGCCCAGGAAATCTGCGACTGCACGGGGGACCCACGGTTGGCGACATCAAGGGAAGAGAAACGTAGACGGCAGCTCGGAGGAGAGAGATTTCAGACAGAGGGTGCCCTGCAGGGCAAGAAAATGAATTTTTTGCTTTACATTTACATTTGCACCTCTTAACTAAGATCGTCTGAAAATGTTGATGGCACAAACGAAGTGAAGTCCTGCTTTAAAACCGAACAGATCAACTGCTTATGGCTGAAGCATTTAATTAGTCCTAACATCACCATTTCAGAAATGTCCTAACATTAATACTGACGAAATACAATTTTTTTCGCAAGAAGGGTGGGTTGCATCCCTTGGCGTCTGTGTGAACAGGGACGTGGGACACGAACAAAATTCCAGGTGAAAGGCCAGGAAGAGGTGGGCTCTGTCCAGACGTTGCACACGTGTCGCCAGTCCCGCCCCCGGCGCCCCGCCCCCTCG